GCGGGGCGGGGGGCGGGCGGGAGGAGGTGGAATTGCATTTCTGCCGCTAAAGCGTTCGCGGAGACTTCAAGGTATAATCTATCCCAGATCCTTTCCCAGAGAGAAACTTGGCGATCACGTTTCCACATGATGCTCACGTTTGGTGCTCTCCAATTATCCCTCCCCACAAAGATAGGTGGCGTGTGTTGCAGGGTCTCTCCTCTCGCTCGTACAGAAAAGAAAAAGAAAAAAATGTCATTAGAAGAGGCGTAACACGTCAGTCCGTCCCCAGGTTTGTGTTTCCTGGAGTGGCAGAAAGAGATCAGTCCTAACCTGCCCAGCAGGAATAACGGTCCTTCCGACAACTCTTTGCAAGGCTTTTTACAATTTCTCCAGGAGCTGCATCTCCCTTCACCTTTTCTCCTCCACTTCGCGGCTTCTTCATGCTTTTTCTTCTCACCATTTCTGGCCAAAACTACAAACAAGACTTCGCAGGTAGGTTCGGAATTTAATTCCATTTTCTCCTTTTTTTTTTTCTCCCCTTCCCGTCTCTTCTTTTTTCCTCACACCACCTCACTCATCAGCGGGTTTATTTCATTTCGAGAATATTTTAATTTTTCTGGATTGTTTATACTTGGGGCGAAAAATATTTTTTTAAATTTTTTTTAAATTTTTTTCAATTTTTTTTAACCAAAACCTGAAGTCATTCCAGCACCGCTCCAGGAGGCGGTGAGCAGTTTCGGGGTGCTCGGGGCTGTGCCACCACCACCCCTGCTCCCCTTACCTGTCAGCCAGGTACGGGAGGTGCCTTTTAAAACGCAGCAGCAAAAGTTTTAGTGCTAGGAAAGGACTTCGCCCTCCTGCAAAAAAAAAAAAAAAAAAAAAAAAAATCCCTGCAACATCCCCCCACCCACCTCCTGCTCTTTTTATTTCAGGTTTTACATCTGAGCTCTGAAAGTTTGCAGGTACCTGTTAATGCTTTGCATGCCCTGAGCATGCACAGCCTGCTCGGCCGGGCACCGCTGGAGCCCCAGCCCCGGGCAGGGCTCCCCGGCAAAGGATGTGTTTCCCCAAACAGAAAGTTTTTCTGTTTTGTCTGCTTAGTTGGTTTCATTTCTTTATTTTATTTTGTGAAGCTGGGTCAAGTAGCACCTTAGCTTCTGGGAGCATAAAGCAAGAAGTGAAAGTACTGACTGGAACTTAAAAGTCGTTTACCAAAAGGAAAAAAAAAAATAAATTAATGCATATTTTTAAAATCTTGCCAGTCCTCTGGGAAGAAAAGTGTTCTCGAAATTTGCAGGTTTAAAATTATTKATAACTTTTTGCGGGAGGCTGGAGAGTAGGGAAGGGAGTGAAATACATTTAAAACAATTCACCACTGGTGGTTTTGCATGAAAACGCCAATTGCCGAGGCGGGCGGAGGGTCCGGGCTCGCCTCGGAGCCTGTCCTCCCTCCCCGCTCTATCTCCTCTCCTGGCAGATCTGCCGCGGTGATGCCACCATTGCCCACTCCAGCCTCGGCAATCACTGGCAAATACTAAAGTTTCTAGCACAATTCTCAGCTTTCCTCAGCCACGTACATCCACATCCACAGAGCCACCAATTCCCTCTGTCCAGGCGGAATCCCAGGCAGGAGAGTGTGAGTAAACACGYTGACCCCACACACACTCTCTCAATCTTCCCATCCTCTTACCTGCTTGGAGATTTATTATTTTTTATTTATAGCCAAGCAGGTTTTGTAACAGTAAACGCCTGAGGAGAGAGTTCAGGCAGAATAAAAAGACCCAACAGCAGCACACTTCACTGCTCAGTCCTGGTGTGAAGCTCCAGCAAAGTAAAAAGACACAAGGGAGAGGAAAGAGGAAAAGGGAAAGAAAAAAAAATCTTACTCTGCTTTAAATATATATATATATATTGAAATTGTTGAGTCAGGTAATAATTTTTTAGATTTTATGCAAAACTCCCAGTGCAGGAGAAGACAATAGATGCGAAGGCGAGGGGGGATCCTGCTCAGGAGAGCAAGGGTTAATTGCCCTTGTTTTACAGTTTGCATCTGTTACATCTTTTATAGCCCCCTGTTTAAACTAATCCTCAAGTCAAAGCATCTTTAAAGCTACAGCATCTTCTTCGAGATGGACTGAGTTTCAGGAGCGTTCTTGCAGCAAACCAAACGCTCCTGCCCCTCTCTCCCTTTGACAGATAGAGCCTCCTGCCCAGCCCGGGCACACAGGCAYATACAGTAGGTCTAAAAGTTTACAAGTTGTTTTTATGTATCTTTTTTTTTTCCTCTTAAAATCAAAAAAAAATCTAAAACCCAACTGAAAGGCTGAAAACTCTGACAGCGGTAGTTTTGATTTCTGTTTCTTTTCTGGGAAGGAAAAAAAAATATGACACTCTGAAGCTTTGTTTAACTAAGGGGCAGGGGAAACCCTGAATATTGTCAAACTGACTAAAAAGGTGACAGAGGTTTATAATTACACTCCTCGTTGTTAGGGGGAGGGGGAGGTATCCKTGCTGAGCTTTACCCCAAAAGGACAGGGGAGAGCCATGTTTCCCTCTCCTCTTATCACTTTGCTGGAGTGCACTTTGGGGGAAAAAGAATGAAAGCAGGAGAAGGGTAGCATTTCGCGTGAAAAGAAGTTCTAGTGTCAAATTAAAGTACTTTTCGGAGGAAATGGTCCGCCTAGCATTGAGTCAAACAGCCTACTGTAAAAGCTGTGCATTCCCTCATACGGTCATGAGTTATGACTCATTTGAGATGTAATTCTTGTCTCTCTCTCTCTCTCTCTCTCTCTCTGATCTGCTTTGCTGGTGCAACACACACACACGCAGGGAGGGAGACACGCACACGCGCTCTCACACACACACAGACACACACACACACACACACAGAGAGAGAGAGAGAGAGAGAGAGAGGGAGCAGAAATAAATAAATAAATAAATATATAAATAAATAAAGAAGAAATCTGCCCGGCTGGGGAGAGAGGGGGAGCCCGCTCCGACCGCGTCCCACCTCCCCCGGCACGGCCAGCCTCGCCGTGTGCGTGGATGGGTTCTTTTTCGGGTGCAAACTGGGGTCCCCGTTGGCGCCCTGCGTTTAAATGGGACATCCCGATGCCCACATTGTCGCTGTGTTTGGTCGTTACATAGAGCCTGCGTGCTGCTGCTGCTGCTGCTGCTGCCGCCGCCGCCGCTGCTGCTGAATCAGGGAGTCGAGCCCATGCGAACTGCCATCTGATCCACTCTTATCAATGAAGCAGCAGATCATGGCGGATGGCCCCAGGTGTAAGAGGCGAAAACAAGCCAACCCCCGGAGGAAAAACGGTAAGACGCCCCCCCGGGAAAACTTTTCCGGCCGGCTCCGGCGCGGCCGTGGGGGGGAAGCCGGCGGCAGGACGGGGAGCGGGACGGGGAGGGGGGCACGGCAGCCCGGGGCTCGGCCGCCCCCCGCCTCCTGCGCCGCGTCCCGCCGAGCGAACGGGGCTGCGCGGCCGCGGAGGAGCGCCGGGGGGTGCGGAGGGGAGCGGAGGGGGAGAGCAGCGCTGCCGCCCGCCCCGCCGCCGCGCCCCAAAGTTTGTTGCGCGGGCGCGGAGCGGAGCGGGCGCTGCCCCCGTGGCCCGGAGCGGCGGAGGAACGGCGGGGGCGGCCCGGATCCGCTCCCCGGTTCGCTCCGGGGCTGTCAGTGCGGGCCGGGCCGGGCCGGGGCGCGGAGAGGAGCGGAGAGGAGCGGAGAGGAGCGGAGCGGGGCGGTGGGAGGCGCGGAGCGGCGCGGAACGAGCGGGGCGGGCGGCCCTGGGAAAAAAAAAAAACAAACCGGCAGCGTGAGAACCCCGAGGCGGGCTGGCACCGAGTTAGCGACTCTCTCTCTCTCTCTTTCCCTTTTTTTTTTTTTATTGTTAGGGACTCGAAAATGAAACTTCCTCCTCCCTGATAATTAATAATACTAATGAGCTCGGTGCCCGATTGTCCGTCGCTGCCCTCTCCCCCGGTCCCCGCCGGCCGCGCAGGGCCGGGGCGCAGTGGGACGCGGTGTTCTGGGCTGATTTCACATTTGGCAGCTTTCACTGGTGTGGTGGGTCTCTCTTTCTCCGTCTCTCCCCGTCCCTCCCTTAGTTTCTTCCTTTCTCTCCCGGCTGATAGCCGCTTCCCGGCCGCCAGCCTCCCCCTCCCCGCCCGCAGCCCCTCCATGGCCATCCCGGCCCCACTTCCAACAACTTTCCTCTCGAGGAGCCGGAGGAAGGAAGATATTTGTGTGAACCTGAACCCGTGCGCTTATAGCTCAGCTACTTCATTTAAGTGGAGAGGTGGAGGTGGAGGGGGGCTGAAAGAGGAGGGGGACACACACAACAACAACAACAACAACAAAAAACACAAAGACAAGAGAATGTTGATTAGAAACAAATGATCCTGGCCCCCCTTCCCTTCCTTCTCTCTAGGTTGTGAGTGTGAGTGTGTGTGTGTGTGTGTGTGTGTGCGTGTGTGTGTCTTTTTCTTGTTGTGGTGGAGGCGTCGAGCCATATGGGGGAGTGATAGAGGAATTTTAGTCAGAAACTGTTCGTTATGTTACACTGGCTTTTCCCTTTGTGTTGTCTTTGATCTATTTGCTTGGCTTAGTATTACCAAAAAGAAAAAAAAAAAAAAGAACCAACTAAAATAATATATTCCGAGCAGCTTCCCAAGGATCCGTTCCTTGTTATCTTTTTTTAAAGTCTCTCCCCCTCCACCACCACCCTTTACTCTTGTGTCTGTCATTATTTAAGGTGGTCCTCACAGAGGAGACCTCCCCTTCCCCTCATCTCTGGGTAATTTAGTAGACATTAAAATTACACGTAATGTTTCCCTCTCCTCTCTTGTGTTTCCTCTGTTCTTTTTATTAAATGTTGGTTATTGATTTTCTAAAATCAATGTCTGTTGTGGGGCTTTTTTCCCCTTACAAGTATCTAAAGCACGTTGCTGATCAACTGGATAACAAAAGCTTTGTGTCAAGTAGCCTTTTTTCTTATGTTAAACAGTCATTTTTGAGAGAAAAAGAGAATGAGATTTAAAGCAACGCATCCAGAAGTGCTCTTTTGCAGTAAAGAATATTCTGAGTGTTTGAGGGGGTTTTATTCTTCTTCCTCAGCCTCCTTGCTTTTCCAGGCTAGACTATTAGTTTAGCGTGTTAAACCCATCACATGCTCTCTGATGAGGGAGAGCATCTCCGTGTTTCATATTTTCTCAACATGATTTGAGTCCTAAAATAAACCCACCATCCTTCCCCCCCCCCAAAAAAAAAAAAAAAAAAAAAAAAAAAAAAAAAAAAAAAGGAGCTGGATGCCTCTGTTTGCCCAGGACACCAGGACCGTATCCTGGTAGTGCAGCCAAGTCTTTGGGAGCACGTATGGAGCGGGGTGGCACAGATTCTGGTTGCTCCCATGCAAAACGGTGTTTTCAGGGAGCCGCACTAACTTGGAAAAGCCACCACACTTGGGAGACGAAAAGTTTAATTGCGATTTTTAAGGTAACCACTTAAAGATCCTGCAAACTTCAAGTGTGTGTGCGCTGCTTACGCGAAGGGCTGAGATCTCCCTTCAGTGTCTTGTTCTGGCCAAGACACGGGGTGGGGGGGTTGGGGGGGAAGGAAATAATTCTCTACTTTCCGTCTGTCCCCTTCTTTCCTCTTTGTGCTCCCTAATTTGTGTCTTTCATTCATTTGTTAGTGAGAAATGCCCTGGTTCTGAGGAGCAGGTAGAGAGAGGGTGGGTTTGGTTAGGGCTTTTTTTTTTTTTTTTTTTTTTTTTTTTTCTCGACAAGCACGTATCCAATGCCTTTCCCGTTGGGAATTGCCTAGGATTTATCTGGACTGAGTGGATTTTTCTTCTTTCCTGGAATCGTGGAAAAGATGTTACTTCTGAGCTTGTGTCTTTGCTGATAACACCAGAAACGGTGATGCTTATCGAACTCGAACAGAAATTCCTTAGAAACGCAGCAGAACCAAAATAAAAATTTAAAAGCCACGAGGAAAAAAAAAAATAGATGGTCATGTAGGAAGCGAGAGGAGTGTGAGTGAATCCCAGACACATTAMAGACGGGGACAAAACAGAATAATCCAACTAATGCCTCAGTGGRCTCCACGCCTGTGTGCGTGTGTGCGGGGATGGGCAAGGCTCGGGATGAGATACCGGGGCTGGATAAAATTACAGCGGAGCTAAATAGGGTAGAAAGGAAGAAGGCTCGGGATTTTCCAAGATAACGGGGTTGATGAGAGCTGCTGGAGTGGAGGAGAGGTGTGCGAGGGGGGGGTGGGCTGAGAGAGGCGATGTGGAAATCAATGAGGGGTGAGCCCCCAGGGGAGGGGGGGCCAGAGGGGAGGATGGGAAGGAGAGGACCCCGAAATCGGGGCGGAGGGGGCGGGAGGTGCGGCAGCGGCAGCCCAGGAATGCGGCGGAGCTCCGGGAAGTTCAGTCAGATGATTCCCAGCGCCTGACTCACTTCGCGGCACTTTCACTCGGGAGAGAAGTGGCGGCAGAAGAGGAGGAGGAGGAGGAGAAGGAGGAGGAAGAGGAGGAGGAGGAGGAGAGGGCAGTGAGCCCCCTTTTCCGCACGGGCGCCCCGCGGAGGCGGGGGTTGTGCCGGCGGCCGCAGCGCTGGTGCGGAGMGGTGCGGAGCGGAGCGCGGCCCGGGAGCAGCGCTGTCCGGCCGGCAGCCCTGCCCTGCCGTGCCCGATGAGCTGCTTCTCTCCGCCTTGTTGTGGTTTGGCGTTTGTTGCTGAGGGTTTTTTTTTTCCCCCTCCTTTCCTCTCCCCTCCTCGAAAATCCGAAGTAAAATTAAAATCCCCGGCAAAAGGGGGAGGGGGGAAAGTTGTATCTAATTTACCCCAAAGTTTCAGTAAACAGCTCTCTTTGATTCCTTTGCCACCTCGCTTCCAGTTGTAAAGAAAAGGGAGAAAGTTCAATGCTTTCAGGGCGTCTGATCCAAGAACACAGACCAAACAAGCAGAGACGATTAGACTTGCTCAGAGCCTTTCCCAAAAAGATACCCACCCACCCTCCTTTCAGGGATGCGGGGAAGGGGGAAAAGCCTCCTTCACTCCTCACTTGAAAAAGAGAAGGAAAAAAAAAAAAAAAAAAAAAAGAAAAAAAAAAAAAAAAAAAAGAGAAGGAAAAAAAAAAAAAAAAAGAAAAGGGGGGAGAAAAAAATAGGCAAGCCTGCCTGCTGCCTTTAGTGAGTGGGAAGTGAGTCTTGTCTTCCCTGCCTGCAGAAGTTTGGAGGCAGCTAGACTGAGGCTGGGGTGTGAGGAGGCAGCTGTTCCCTGTGCAGCCCAGGTGGCAGCGGGCACAGCGGGCACCCGGAGCGCTCCTGTGGCCGGGCAGCTCCTCAGGGCCGGGAATCCGTTGCGAGCAGATTACTCCGGGAGCTGGCTCGCTGGGTAGAGAGACAAATGCACTGTTACCACCTCCAGAAAAGCACCTGGAGATAGGTATTAAAAATTAATGCCATAAATGCGAGTGGCCAGGGCGTAATGATTACCCAGCTACATTTTCTCGGTGCAGATTCACGTCCAGGCTGAGCTGTGACATGGAGCAGGGGAGGTTGTTTTCTATGTCAAGTCGGATCTATTTATTTTCTTTCCGAGTTTCGAGAAACCCAGCGAATTTGGAGATTAGTGCCTGATTTACTGTTTGCCATTTGTGACCATTCSGTACTTACTGGTTTTGCTTATTGCACATGCTTCGCAAGGAAAGTTTTGGGGGAATTTCTAATTGCTGCAAGAAAATGCATTTGATGGCTTGGAAAAGGCATATTTGAAAAGGAAAAAAATATTAAGGAAACCATTACGAGTTAATTATCGATAATTATACATAGCCAACTGCCCAAGGTAGGGGAAATATGTGGGAGACTGAGAYGCAAGCTCTCAGGACAGGCTGGTAATATTCCCCAAGAAAAATGTGTGTCTCCCTTTAGAGTGGAAAGAAGGGTGTTGATTCTTTTACAGCAGCCCCACATTCATTCCAAGAAATAGGAAATTCTTCGCCTCACAACAGTTTTTGGCATCTGCATTATCCCAGTGCTTTTAAGGTGCATTTTCTCCTCTGTGAAAGAGAACTCTTTGTCCTTTTTTTCTCCAAGACCATGGCTTCCCAAGGTAGACACTATTTTGTGCCTGTCACATAGAAAGGGAGTGCAGGTTTGCAGTGCTCACAGACAATTGATTGTCTGCCCTAATGTGTTTCATTTACATGTTTATAACGTCAATAGTGCTGGGGTGTCCACTGTACCATTCATTCCAGCATTCCCACAAGGGTGCAATTGTCTGAATGGCCAAGTCAGACACCTTTTTGATT